GAGAAAGAGAGAGAGAGAGAGGGTTAAGAGAGAGAGCTTGTAACTGGAAGGCAGGGTTAGGGATAGTGGAATAGTGAAGGAGGGTACAGGAAAGTTCTGAAGAAAAGATTTGATTTATTGGGAGGTTAGAAAGATGGAAAAGAGAAAAAGAGAGAAACATGCTGGCAGATATAGAAATACCATGTAAGAGGAGATACTGTTGTACTGTTAAGCTACAGCCAACAAAGGTGCGGAGAATCAGATCTGTACTGTCTACTTTATGCCCCTATCCCATTTTACTTAATTTATTTATTTTATCAGGTTTGTTTTGCCTCCTTCTATTAAAGTTGTTGATGGATATGAAGGACAGATACCATAATTTTTTATGGCAGATATAATTAAGTGGATATGCAGATTCTTGCCACTCTCGCCTTTCCCACTTCCTCTATTCGCCTTGTATCCCTTCTTTACTTGCCCACTTTCCCTCCACGAGAGGTGGCTGTTCTTCCTCATTGCCATTCTCATCATCATCAATCAGCTAACTGCTGGCCATGAGAGAGGACCTCTCTCTGTCTTGTCATTCCCTTTCTGCATCCTGCATTCTCCCATCCTCTCCTCACCTCCCATACTCAATCATCGACTTTTCTCACTTTCACACCACACTTTCCCTATCATTTGTCTTCTTCATTGTCTTCTTCTTTAAGAGCTGTTTCTCTCTCCCTTCATCCCACCTTACCCTCTCCACTCACCTCCTCCCTTTTTCAGTCTCATGTAAATTGATTTTCTCTTTGTGTAATGTAAATGTTTGGCTTGGTCAGTGTTGCATTCCCGGATGGAATCCATTTTGCACTCAATAAGACAGATAGATGGTGTGTTTACATGGATTATGGTCTTCTGACTATGAAACATTGAATTGTGGTGCTGTGAGTCCCAAATGAGTAGCAGAGGGATGCAAAAACACAGCTCCAGAGAATTTGAAAGTTGGGTTAGAAATTTAAGTAACCCTGTGACTTGAAAAAGTGAAACCTACTGCAAAGAAACTATAATTGTTGAAATGAATACTCAAGGCCAGGTAAGGGATTGTAATAACTTGTCTACCAAATTCTACTGGGGATGGAATGATTTATAAACTGATCACAAACCAGCTCACAGCATACCTCCTCCTCTTTTCCTCTCTCCTTCCTATTTCTAACACCATTGCTCCACAGTGTGCCTGCTTTTCTACCCTCCCAACCTGTTTCCAAAGACAGATAGCCATCAGTATGCATATGTGTGTCTATAAGCAGGAGCAGGGTATGTGATCATACACTAATCAGGCCATAGGATTACAGTATGACCTTTGACCGCTCACCCATCCCTCAGCTCTATCACATGGTACTGATGTGGCTGCAGGAAGAGCATGTAACACAGTCATTTCAAGAGGTCAATCTACACCCAGTAGTACATTGCAATTTAGATTGTATAAATAAGAAAGTAGGAAGCTCTGTATATGTTGCATCTACATGCTGGGAGTCTAGATTAAAAACAAACAGGCAACACTGAAGCTAAGGAGTTAAATGTTATGGTGGTTTCCAGTCTGTTTAGCATGCAGGTGCTTACTCATGTTCCTCTGGTTGGAGTGCAAGCACAGAATGGTAAACTGTGGATTTGGTTTGGCTGTGTATACCTGTGCCTATAGCAAGAAAAACTAAAGAATAAAAGCTTTGAGACAATATAAAATTAAATAGAAAAAAGGAAATAAAATATTTTAAAACAAGAATATCGTAAAATGTATTTTTTTTTACAAAAAATAAATAATGGCCATAAAACAAAATAATAAAAAAGCCAAGCTAAAGAGGGTTTTGAGTTTATGTTCAAAGACATAAACACTAATTGGTTTATGTTCAATGGCCAGGATTTCATAGACACCTCCCTTAGTAGTTATTTAAATATTGTGATAGTGTGTCTGTCAGTTCACTGTGATTATGGAAGCTCCTTGTTGAATGCATTATTATTTTGATTACTCCTGAGATGGTTAATTCTGCCTGGAGATTTCCACATTGTATCAAGCACAATAAGAGCATCTCTATGTCCTCTCCTCTGCTTCTTATGTTATCTTTCTGTCTGTCTCTGTCTCTCCTCCTTAGTATAGCTCATCCATAGCCCTATCTGTCTAAATTAAAGGCATAACATAGATTAGACTATAATTACACATCTGCATCTGATAAACTTGATTCATAAGCGACTCCAGTCATGCTGCCTCACCTCTAGGGGCCTTAACACCAGATCTAATCACCGTTACTGCAGCAATACCACCATTAGCATCTTGTCTATTATCTACATGATTAGCCAGGGGTGAACTAGCTGGTTGGTGATTTGTGGAAGTGTCACTTGACTTCGTTGTGCCTTGACTGACCCCAGGGCAACAGCAGCTAGTCAGTCATTAACGGCAGAGACACACATCGCCGCTGACAGGTTACATTACAGCTGGTTAGGATAGGTTAGCAGCAGGGATGGGATTGTACCTCGTAGAAATCCCTGATCCCCCGTGGCAATAACAGTTGCTCTGTGTCGGATGATTTGTCAAAACTAATGTTTTCTGATGCTGTGAGGAAATTTACACTGCGGAGAACAAAAAGATGACTAGGCAGAGGAAATGAGACATGAATGATGATGGTAATGTACACCGCTGCAGCCCATTTTGCATTGTCCACATCTCTAAGCTTAAAATTCCTCCTCAAACTTTTCTAGTTCAGTTTATCTCCATCTCACCCGGTATGATGGAAATGGATTTTGAAATGGAAAACGATTAGGCTTAATGGGTTTTACATGGATTCACCCCACCCCTATGCTTAATCACAAAGTAAGTGTCCCTAATACGTCGCGCAGACGGTGTATATGAGCATGTGAGTATATTAATTATAGTAAAGTGGATACTGTGCTGAAACAAAGAAACCAAAGATTTAGAAATGATCTGATATGTTCAGCACTGAAGAAGCTTATTTTGGGTGTTTGACTAAACAATTAAACCTCTGTGTAAAAAAATGCATAGGCTATGTGTCTGCAACGGCATTCTATTGTATGATAAAACATAATTTGCATATAATTTGCTACATTATTACACTATATAACATTTTGGTTACATCTGTTTTTGACACAGTATCAGTAATAGTGATGTGATGTAAATGTAAATGTATTTTTTGACAGACAGTTTAGTGGTTAGAATAACATGATGTTTGTAGGCAACTCAATACAAATCAAACAAAAGCAGTGACATTAAGTTATTAGTTGCAGTAAAGAATATATTAATGAATGAATTAGTTAATGGGAAATATGTACATACATTCTTATGATATGACTTGCTACTGAGCCTCATACCCTTACATGGCAGGTTAAACAATGTCACTTTAATTGACAAATGTTTTAAATAGACTAATACAGTTCTGTTGTCTCCACAGATGCTCCCATACTGGACCCAGTCTTCCAGGATGTGCGTTCTAGGAACTATCAAATGGTGACCCTGAGGTGTACGGTCCTGCGGTCAAACCCGCCTCGCCTAATAGACATCCGCTGGTTCCGTAATGGTGACTTAATCCGCATGCCCATGCCAGACCTGAAGGAGACACCAGAGCTGAAGTTTAAGCTGGAACCCACCAACAACGGCTCTTATGAGTGCCGAGTCAGCAATAGTGCAGGAATATCAATCTGCACATTTAATGTCTCTGGTGAGACTATCTATCTATCTATCTATCTATCTATCTATCTATCTATCTATCTATACTATCTATCTATTTATCTATCTATCTATCGTATCTATCTATACTATACATTGATCTTGATATTCACATCCAGCTGTTTAAATACTTTATTTATTATGCCTCAATTTTATTTCCATCCTGTAAATACCCACGTCTGGGTGCCCTTAATTCTTGATTGTGGATCTGGTTTATTTTATGTCTTTTCTATTATATAGAAAATTAATTTTTTATTGCCTGTTTGCACCGTGGGTCCGAGAGGAAATTTCATCTATGCTGTATGACGTGCAAGTGTCTTAAACATTGGGCAGTTATCTTCTTAAGTGTTTTTAATCCATGTTGTTCTCTCTCTCTCTCTCTCTTTGCTCCCATACAACAGCACAACCCTACAATGCTGAATTCTACTTCGACACACCCAATCCAGTCAGAATCCTAAAAGGAAACAACTATTCCTACAACCTGCAGTGGACACAGAAAGATCCTGAGGCCACAGATCGTATCATAGGCTACTGGATTAATGTCCGAAAGGTAAAGCACTCCTACACAAAGTAAAAGGCTTAAGCTATGGTATATGGATCTGCAGAATAAATGGCTTTACAAACAGGAACTCACTGACTTTGTTTAGTCATGACAAGACATTGATCTGTTTGGCTTAAACCAAGGCTAACTTTGGTCACTGGCTCTTGTTTGCAAATTTGGTATCACCTTGACTGAACAGGCTCATAACTAGTATCGACAAGAACACACATACGCACAAGTCCGTATGTAGTGAAGTGTGCATGCTAAGTAAACATGGGGCATTATGAGCTTGGGGAGTGTCAGGCGTGCCTAGTCAATCAATAGAGATCTGCACTGAATCACAATGATTCCACAGCCATCTCTCCTCTCCTCTCCTCTCCTCTCCTCTCCTCTCCTCCATTTATAAGGCTCATTGTTTTGGTTTATTTTATTTTATTTATTTTTATCCAGAATTAGTCTTGCAGTCCCAAACTTGAATAACATTTTTTTTTTTGATTTAACCTCTCAAACCTTAACACTTGTGTTCCCTTTTAGTAGATTTTAAATCACTAAACTACTCAGGAAGATATTGCATGCGTTTTTATATATTACACAAGTACCATGCACACAGTGCTGTTCCATTATAAATTAACAACAAATAACCTACAGAATAATTTTAGATTTTTATCCTCCAAAAGGCTTCACTTACCCCTCCAGGTATTTTTGGAGAACTTCTTAGCAGGCCCCTGACCTGAAGTTGGGAACCTCTGTCCACACTAAGAGAGCAACCTCAGGCCACCCTCTTGTTTGTTTCAAACATCTATTCATAGATTACTGGCCTCCAGTCAGAAGACAGGAAGGATAATAGTGAATTATACACAACTGGCTGGGGGTTGGTGTGTGCATGTGTGTGTGTGTGAGAGAGACACTAAAACAGAGGGAATGCAGGGTCTGCCAGCTTGCTTTTGTGCGGATGAATAGCTAATTCCCCTCCTACTTTAAGACTGGGCAGCTTACCTCATTAAATAAGACTCTATAGGGAGACCGACAATGAGCACTGGCCTTCCTGAGATGCACATTTGATTGCATGTCTCAGCTCTACGAAAACTCTCGCTCTACCTCTCCCTTCTTCCCTCTACTTTTATCCTCTGTCCTACCAATATTTCACTATGTTCATCACACACAGCATCGCTTCTTTGCCATCTTTCAGTCCTCCTTGTGCCCCTCCATCTCTCTTTTGTGTGCTTCCCTTCTCAACTCTCAGTTTTTCTGACTCTGAGGTAGTGTGTTATAAGAGCAGACTTAATGGCATTTAATGTTGGGTGAACCGTGCTAACTGAAATAGCGCTGATAAATAGTCGCTGTGAGTTGTTATGCTGACAGTGTTAAAATAATGAGTTGTATTAAGTAGCAGTTTAGGACTTCCTAAATGTTGTTAAAGTTTAATTTAATTTCAAGGTTCTTTTACCTGCATGTTTTATGTGTGCATTAGAGAGCAACAGAGAAGAGACAGTAGGTGAAAAAGGAAAGCAGAGGGTGAGAGTGAGCAAGGGAGTGAATGAAAGGGTGCGAAAGGGAGAAATAAGATGCAAATTAAAGAAAAACAGCAAATCTCACTGGTCCTCTCGACTATTAAATAGAGTACGAGAAGATTCAAATGTAATACCATCTCAATTTCACAACCCATCTATTTCTGCAACACTTTCTCCAGCTCATCCTCTTAACGCCTTGACACTCTATCTTTTTAGCACATACAAAATGATGTAGGGGCTCTCGGGGGAGACACAGAAGGGAATAAAAGAGAACTCAGATGAGTTCATATAGAGCAGAGCTCTTCACCGTAGGTCTGAGAACATGGCTTTAACTTTTGATCATATGCATTAATAGTGTTCATTTGTTTTAACCTTTGAATTTTGCTGTTGTTCACAATAAGTGGGTGTGCTTCTCATTTGAGTTTGTGTATATTTATAGGTCTATATGCCTGTATGAATGGCCTCCACTGCATTTGTATTTACCCATGTGTCCATTCCTGTATGTGTGTGGAAGGCATGGTTTGCTACATGACTCATTGCCAGGCTGTGAAATCCCTGTTTACACTTCTTAATTTAGTTTCATTCTCCCTGCAGGGGGTTTCCCTGTGTAGGAATTAACAGAGTTGACAGGCCCTCGTTGTTTCATCAAGCTGTCTTTACACCCCTTTTCCTTACACCACAACCTCCACCCCTATGGCTTCTTAAATGGGTACTTTGATTGGTGAGAGATAATTAATATGTGATAATTTTACCTTTTTGCAACAAGACAGATTTACTTAGCCTTTTGTGGCTCATTTCAGACACTTTTCAAGTCGCACTGGCATAGTAAGCCCTGTTTGCATTTAAAGGACTATCATGTAAATCATGCTGGATTAACTTTGCTCTAAAGGATCAGTGTGTAACATTTAGGAGGATCTATTGGCATAAATTGTAACATACATAACTATGGTTTCATTAGTATATAATCACCTGAAGATACTGTAGATGCTGAGGGTCGCCTTCCCTGGAGTCTTCCACGGACAAACCAAACACTGCCTCTAGATATGCCCTTTTTTTTCCCCGGCCACTGTAGTTTTTCCTAAACACTTCTCAGCATATTTTCATTCACAGGTCAACAAATACAGACTGGAGAGGCAGATTGTTCACACACATTAAGGAGGGTTGTGAGTAGTAGCTAGTTCCCTCCCTCTCAGCAAATGTAAAAAATGCATAAGAGACCTGCAAAGGACAGTGATTTGAGAGGAAGTGATTGACAGACGGACCACAGCAATGTAGCAGGAAGGAGCAGCTGCTGTCAGACTCTCTGTGTCTGTGCTGGAAACACAGAGAGTCCGCTGGAGCTTTTACAGTTACTCAAAGCACTTTCTCTGACCTTAGTAAAAGCTTCTTACTTGTGGTACTTATGTTGTGGCTGAGCTAACAGCTGTGTTGTAGCTGAGCTATCTAACTCCGGTATGTGTGTGTTTGTCTGTGGGGGGACTGTCAGTGCATGGGATCAAGGTAAATACTGCTGTGGTGCTTCTGCTGCCATTTAAAGCACAAGTCCGAACCACTGTGCCAAAATAAATTGCATAAACTACTGTGAATGTTGTGTCTCAATCAATATACATGTGAAAATGAGCACAGCGGTTTCACAGACTCCCACTTAAAGCGCAGACTGGGCGAGGTGGGCTGACCTCCTCTGATTAGAGGGCATTGTATAAATGTCATGACGTAGAGTCGGCTCAAACTGTCAATTCTACCTCAGTATTGGACTTACAAGGCTCAGGGTGATTTAAAATAATAGACGGTGTGTTGGGCCATTTTGGTAATAACTTGGTAATAATGTCAATTTTAACACCAGCATAATACAGTCATACAATTTAGTTTATAGGTATAGTTTTTATTTTTTTTTATTTTAAGTCACCTGTCCTCTATTGAAAACCTCATACAAACAAAATGGGCCAGTTATTTTCAACATGTATCAGTTCAAAAACAAAAAATAACAGCAGCTTGAAAAGAAAAAAGCATGCAGTAGCCAATAATAAACTTAAACCCCGCATTAAGCCCGGATTTTTCACATCTACACGTCTTTTGTGCCTCATCAGGCAATTTGCATCAAATCACATTTTTCCTTCCACTTTGTATCCCCATTACGCTCGCGCAGCAGATTGACGCATCTCCTTCTCGTGCTGCCACCGCCCGACTCTCGCTCTATAAACCAAAAGATGCTGAAATGGCAAATTGTGGCCGTTTGTACAGGAGTGTGTTCGGGCAATTTATTATCCAGGACGTTGCTCTGAAATTCGCATGTTGCTGTAGTAAATCTGTTTTTTACAATCAGTAACAGGTTTTATGCATGTTTAGTTCTTAGTTTGTTACAATGTAGTGCTTTTGAAATGATGACTATCCCAGTGCAGACATAGAAACTTTAGGTACCATAGCAAAATGTAATCATTCTGTAGACATACACTGCAGAGACACTTGCAGTTGTGATGTTCCTTCTTCTTATTGTTTTTTTTTCTCCGTCTTCACAGCTTTATCCTACCACCACTCAATATTTCCACCTCATCTCTATATCAACCACTCTCCTGCTTGCAGCTATAGAGATATAGTAGTATATTTTGTGTATCACTCAAGTTGTGCGGCTAGCAGGTGACCTGGCTTCAGATCGTAACTACAGCCAGGTTCTTTCTGCACTGAGACACACAGTCACACAAACACACATCCCCATTATCATATATATGAGAAATTAAAAATATTCATGATGAATTAGAGTTGTACATTAAATCAAATATATGAATAATTTATGTACATAACCAACCCCACTATGCAGATATACTTGTATATTCACACACAAGGCTGAAAAGAGAGCACATTGGCCTATGCAAGCATCATGCATATAGACACAGTGCGCACATGCACAGATGATGACCTGTATACATACACACACACAATATCATTGAGCTGCCAGATCAGTCATGAATGAGATCCATTAATAGAGGATAATAGAAAAAATTAACCTCACACTCCTCAGTGTTTGAAGAAGCCGTCTCCTCTCACGCTGTCAGTTCCATTTTTTCTCACACACACGTCACACATTGTCTATGTTTCTATCTCATGGCTGCTCCTTCGCTCTCACCCTCTTTCACACATTCTTTGTCTTGTTGTCTCTTTGTTGACAGTCAGATGGAGACACAGCTGAAAACACTGTGTGGCTGAAATCCGTGAAAGCATGTGGCACAGACACACAAACACACACACACACACACACACACTCAAGAGAGGTCAGTCTATCAACCAACCACCTCTCTGCCTCTTTAAATATGTCAGTCACTTTGACTGTCTCCTTTTGTTGATCCTTTTTCTACACACTGTATATCTTTCTCACCCTCCCCTTGTCCCTTAGGCTCACACACACGTGTGTGGATGCACGCACACACGCACGCACGCACGCACGCACGCCCACAAACACACAGATTAAGTCCACTGACCTAGTGAGGGAGGCAAACAGAGGCAGGGAGACAGAGATTTTTAACTGCAGTAGGAGCAGCTGAATTCCTCTGAGTCACACTTCAGCACCTCATTGATCCAGTGTGTATCCAGGTCCACACAGTGTATGTGTGTGTGCGGTTGTTAGTGCATGCTTTTAGTCTCGGCCATTTTTTCTGTCACCCATCTCCCACACACTGTAAAAATGAGCCAAACTAGTGTGCATGTATGTGGGTATGTGTGTGTACGTAGACCCTGTCCATGCATGAAGAAAGCACATTGAACTTACTTCTAAAGCTCTGACTCCTCAGCATTATTAACTCATCTTTCTGCTAACACACACTCTATGCATATTGCATGAGCATAGCTTTTCCTTCCTGCTATATTTCACCTAATTATGCATATGCTGTATGAGCAGTGTGTAAATGTTTATATGGATGAATGTGAGTGTAAGTGGGTGTTAAAAGAGCACAGTACATTTTACTATGTAACTGCTAACTATGTAAAATATTATTCACTGTATGATAATGTATGAGTTAATGTTGTCCACTGTGCAAGTCTCAGTACAATTCAAGCCTGTAGTACAGATTTTTTTTAGATGTCTATGAGTTGTTAGCAGTTCCACAAAAGAGACATTTCCCCTCTAAACTAGTGGAGGTGGAAATTATCCAATATTTAACAAATGAGCTGAGATTGGAGACAAGTCCAAAACTTTTTCACTTCTTTCCTCCTCCATTAGCTCACAACCCCTCAGATTTATCAGGTGACCCTTTGGTGTCAACAAAACATGACAACAATCAGTCACAGGGGACATTTTGCTTGAGAACGAGTACTTTAACTTTTGACACTTTAAGTATATTTTGCTATAAATACCTGTTACCTAAGTAGGATTTTGAATTAAAGACTTTTATTTGTAATGTATTTTTACTTTGTTGCATTGGTATACTCATGGAAACTTCAATAAAACTCATCCCTATTTGAGAAATCGAAACCTCTGACCTTTTCTTAATGTGACGCTCTCTTAAACCAAAAGGTCGCTTTGCTGCCTTTTCATTAAAAGAGGCAGTATCCTGTTACACAACATCTTGCTGCTAAGTCCTTTGTTAAGTTCCATCTTTCTGGATTCCTTCCAATTACAGTGATGTTATTCAATGGGTGCAATAAACCAAACATATAGATCACTCCAGCTATAACAAAAGCAATCAGGAGTCCTGTGTGCAAAGGTCTCACCCTTAATGCCCTCTAATGTTTTTGTGCTTAGAGTACCATTATTAAAAAAGTTTGCTGGGAAAATTAAAATAGAAGATAAAGAGCAGATGGGAGATTTTTTTTTGGAACAATTACAGTGCATTAGAGAAGAGGACAAATTATTTGTTGGGAGGAAATGTGGTTTATGTTTGGGAAAAAAAAGATAATTTTGCCTGCATTGTGCAAGGATGTTCCATGACTGGCTAGAGAGGGTAAAAAGTTGAAGCAACTGAAATGGAAACAGCCAGGCTAGCACTGAGAAAAGAAGATTTAACAGCCATTAGTGGCATAGGGCCTGGTGAGGAAGGAAGGATTTGATTCCAAGTATGTTGCCAAGCGCAAACTTGCAGGGATCAGGGCTGTGGCTGCCATGTGGGACTCACACAATAATTGGAGTCATACCAAAGTTTTTGCAGCCTGAGCAGGAGTCACCATGGTCTTGTCAATAGAAATGATCAGCTCAGTCTAGCTGAGTTTGAATTTGTGGTGGTGAGTAGACATCCAAGGGGAATAGCACACCTCAACTTGAGTGTCAGAGGACAGGAGGAAAAGCTGATTTCACTGCAGCGATGTCAGAGCATACAGTACTGTAGCAATTATAGGGAAAGTTATGGGATGCATCAGTGCCACTATGACTAACCACACTGTTACTCTTTGGATTGGATGAGCTGAGTAGAAGCAGAGCAGAAAGCATGCACATTTGAGAGTTTGCATGTTTTTTTTTTTGCAATTATCCCACAAAATTTGAAATGGATAGATTTTTGATTTGTGATCATTTAAATTAAATTGATTTTTAATGCAATAAATCAATCAATGGATTAAGTCACATACCTACATTCTTCTAAATTGTTCTACATGTATGATATGATGCACAAACTTGTAATACTCTGATTGCTCACTGTGTAAGGGCTTTGTACTGTAGACATTTACCATACACACACAAGTATGCACACACACAGAAACACACACACAAATCAAACACACTTCTGCTGCATGCATTACCTGATAATGGCATGCTGTGGGTGTACTAAGGTGTTATGGTGGAGTGGCTGACCTAATGCATTAGATTGAGCTCACTGTCAGGTCTTTAAGTAGCTGGGATCAGAGGCAGATACACAGCTAATGGATCCTTCTCTCCGTGGGTGGAATAATACAGCAATAGCTCTATCAAAAGTGGTGCTAACAAAAAAAAAACACCCCGACTTAACTTATAAAAAAATGAGTAGACGATTGGACTGGATTAACATCTTATCTCATCCATTTTTATTTTAATTTTGATGCACAGCCAGTTCAATTTATTTAATGCTGTTTGGGGTTTAATTTTGGTAAGTTATACAATGCTTTATCATAAACGACTGAATAGTGAGAAGTGAAAGAAATATGTCTTACATTTTTACTATTACAGTATTATTTATTGAGTCCATGTTGTGGCAGTGGTGGGAAGTAATGCATTGTGTTGGTTGTTTGTACTAAGCAATGGCAAAACAACAATTTAATGTAACAAAAACAACAAATTACTATATTCAAGTGATTGTACACTAATTAAAGAATAAGTATGCTTATTATATTTAATTTCTGCCAATAGATCCTCCTAAATATCACACAATGGACCTTTATTTTTGCACTGAAAACCCTCCAGCTTTGTGTTGTTTCCGCTGGTGAGTTTACCATCACTCAGTTGACTGCCAATTGGTAAAAATCAACATAAAGTGGTAGAGGTCAGGGTGTGGATGGTATGATTAAACCAGAAGAGGAAAGGAGAAAATATGCCTGACAGTATTGACACCTCCATGTTCGCCTCTTAATGTTTCTGCCTCTCAGTCAGATTTGCTGTATTTTCTGATGATCATCTTTTTGGCAAACTTTTTGGCATATTTGTGATCTTAACATGTCTGCTGCTGCTGCTTTTGTGTGTGTGTGTGTTCACCTGTACAAATGTAGAACAAGCAGAACCTGCTGTCGAAGCAGATAGACCTTAAGGGTAAAGAGCCAGAGAAGGGTGTGCTGATATCCCATACCATATCAGACCTGAGAATCCCTCTGTCCTACGAGGTCCGACTGGCCCCCATCACCACCTACAGCACTGGGGACTACATCAGTCGCATCATACAGTACTCAGAACGTGAGCTTATTTATTGTTTTTTATCAAACATCTTTTTCTTCATTTATTATCTCTCATATCCATAGACTGACATAGATAAGTGGAGTATGCATATCTGAGTGTTAATCAATATTATTTTCTTACAGCCTACACCTACCCAAGACCTTCAGGTGAGATTTCCCTCTTAACTACCATCCTTTGGTCTTCTTTGAGCTTGTTATTGTACCCTGATTGATGACAGGGTGGTGAAGTTAGAAAGGCAAGTTGAATTTTGGTGCACATTCATTTAGCTTGTATGCTGCAAGCAATGTCAGCACAAGTTTGTCAAGGCAAAGTTTATCCATGACCCAGCCTTGGCCTTTATTAAATGTTGTTGCTAGGGAGGAGAGCGGGGTAACAGTAGGATGTGAGAAAGCAACTGATGGGTCTCATCAAAGAGTGGCCATGATTGGAAGATATGAGACTGGTTAATGCAATGTGATTGGTTATAGTGTATATGGGCTACATTTTTTAAACTTACTACAGCTAAACTATGTTACATATCATCTTAAATGTGTGTCTCTCTCTCTGTTAGCCCCCCACCCCCTCTCTGTCTCGCTCTCTTGCACTAACTCCTGCTCCTGCATCTCATCCTCTCTCTCTCTCTCTCTCTCTATTTGTCTGCTCTCTCTCTCTCTCTCTCTCTATCTCTCTCTATCCCGCTCTCTTTCTCAGTCAATTGAATCTTGTCTATTTTCTTCATTAAGAGATACGCAGCATTTTTCTGGCAGGAGTGGCAGTTGGCTCCGCCAGGGTGAGGCAATTAAAACAACAGCAGATTGGAACAGACTGCGAGAACAACAGTGCAAATTGAAAGGAGCGCATGTAGTGGAGCAGGGTGTGAATAGTAATAGATTAGCTTCCTAAAACAAAGAAACACACACAAGCCATCCTCTTGGGGAGCGCGAGCCATATACATTTGCATTGGGCTGTGTGAGTGTCCGGGAAGCCCTTGCTGAATCTGTTAGCTTGGATGGTTTTCCATAGCTGTTGTCCTCTCTTTGTTCATTTGTTGGAGAGTCTCTGATAATGGCTGAGCCCTCCAGATGGACTAATGAAGGTGACAACACCACAGAGAGAAGCCTGTCTATCTGGCTTAACAAGAGACGTCAGCATCAAGGATAATGACAATTTCCTAACATAAGTCTTTCTCAAAACATGTTTTTTGTTTGTTCTGACGTATGTGGCAATATCAGAAAGCCAAAATCTGACTCCAAAAAGTATAAATGGGAGGACTAAAAAAGAACCTCAAAGATCCTAGAAAATGATTTGTCATATGAGGATGCATCTGATCATAGCTTCCCTCAGGCTTTGTTGTGAGAATAATGCAAGTTCAAATGTTAAAAATGTTGCATTCACAACTTACAGTAAACTCACTTCCTCCCAAATTGTAAAAATTAGTCTCAGCGCTCACATTCTAAAAAAGGTCAATTGAGGAAAAATTCATGCTATGACTTGACTTGCTTTGCTCTCAGACTTGTTACAAGAAGTTGTAGCTTTCTACATAGTAGAGTCTTCTTTAATCTCTTTTTTCTTTTTTTCTAGTAGTAGCAATATTTTTCTCACTGCCTGAAGAGTATCAATAATCCGCATGATTCATATCCACTTCATTGGTTCATTGATTGTTGCCTTGATATACTGTACACTTAGATTCTTGAAATTGGACTATTTGACAAATGTCATATTTGAAACGCCCCTTGAATAAAGCCTTAAAAACGATCAATAGTGTAAACCAGAGTTCAGTAGATCAAATGTTCTTCCTCTGATAGTATAGTGCTTTTTCTGTTCTCCTCAATATCTCCAGGTTGCGTACCTTGTTTTGTCAGAAATCTTCAATCTTCAAACAGTACATTTTTTGATAATGGTGTTTTTTTTTAAATATATATTTTATTTTCTCACATTTGTTACATTAGTCCAACCTAATCATTGTTACCTTTAAATTTTCTGCATGGGAGTCATACATACCACTTCAAGTTTCACATTATATACCCTGCCTCCTACATTGTGCCTATCACTTTGTCAGTAATTGCCTGGGTGTCTGATCTTCACATTTGAAGTGCATATTGCAGAGGTTATTATAGAGCTATACTGTTGCCATTAATTTCCTGGTAAAAGTGGGTGAAAAAAAAACAGTAGGTTATGTCACCTGTAGTTTGTAATGTGACCTGCTTGACATGTCACTGATCTAATGTGTTTTCCTTTCTTGTGTTTTTCTCCACACACCCACCAGACCATGTGTGTGGTTTTGAGGATGAGCGGATCTGTGGTTTCTCTCAAGACAGGAGTGATGTTTTTGACTGGACGAGACAGAATCACCTTACACAGAATCCCAAGCGTTCTCCCAATACTGGCCCTGAGACAGACCGCAGTGGAACCAAGGAGGGTGAGGAAACTGGGGAATCATTTTATGCACATGGTCAATTCTGTGTATGGTAGTAGCAGCACAGTAACAGAACTGTAGTTATAAATACATAACATTTTTGTTGCCTTGAAGACTTTTCACAATAGACTTTTGTCTTGTTGGTTTCAGGGTACTACATGTACATTGAAGCATCACGGCCACGTGTTCAGGGGGACAAGGCTCGTCTGCTTTCTCCACTTTTTAATGTGACCACAGTCAGGGGCCCCAAGGGCTCCGGCAGGGTTCCATACTGTGTCTCCTTCTACTACCACATGAAGGGCAAACATATCGGTGAGTAGTACAGCGAAGAATGATGCCCATAAACATAAACACATTGTCTTCTACCACATGAGAGCATCCATACAAACACAACAACATGATATACAGTATAGAGTTTGCTGACACTCGATACTATCGGGGTTCTCCTATCGCTGGGCTGCTGTCAAAAGCTGAACTCTGTGCTTGACCCTCGCTTGTAGAGCTTGTCAGACACAACATCGTAGGTGTGTGTGTGTGTGTGTGTGTATGAAAGAGAGAGAGAGAGAGGGAGAGAGAGAGGGGAGCGGGGGAGTGTTACCAAAGTTCTGTTTGTGTGTTTCTGCTTGTGCCTCAGTGTGTGCATTTCTGTGTGTTTGGAGGTGGTTGAAGGGGGCAGTGGGTGTGTGATTTATGGCAGTGGCAAGACACAATCAGTCATTTGGGGGAGCTGTTCATCATAATATGCTCTGTCACACAGCTAGAATGCATACATCTTGTAGCCTACACACCTGCACACACACGTTCACACACACCTACATACAAACTGTATAGCAGGCATGGATTCCCACAAAAAACATATAGTAAGACTTGCAAATACATGAAGGCACACCCACATTTATTTAAACACAAACACACGCACACACACACAAACACACACACACACACATTGTTGATTTATGTCACCATAGCCCAAGCATATTACTTCACTGTAACATTTTTTACATTCTGACCTGCCGTGTCTCCTAGGATGTTATAGTGTGTATAAGGACTGTGTTGCTCAGTGTTGTGTGTGTATGTGCATTTGTCTTTACAGATAATGATTACATAATGACTATGTATATGTAACTATATGATTGAGACAAAATCTGTTTTTTTAAGACCTGAACTGAAATATCTCGATTGATAGATTTTTTGAATACATTAGAATTGTGTACTAACATCCAAGGTTCCTAGAGTCCTACTTCCTTCGGTTATCTCCTGACTTGTTCTCTAGCGCCACCGTGAGGTTGAAATTTGTTGTTCAGAGTCAAATATCTTGACAGCTGTCAAATGGATTGACATGAAATTTACATGGATACTTAGAAAGGATCATTTTTAAGGTCTTTGGTGGTTTGGTTTCTCTAGTGCCAATGTTTCACTGATGTGTCTCAACATCTACATGATGGATTGGCTGACTTGATTGTTCTTAATTGAAATATCTTGACAATTACTGATGGATTTCTGTGAAATGATGTATATACTTTCCCATTCCCAGAGAATACATTGTAATAACTCGGATCTCCTGATTTTTCATCACCATCATCTGGTCAAAATTACATTTTGTCAAATACTTTGGTTTATGATCAAATACATGGAATAACTAACTACTTTCCCATCAGCCTCAGCTGTACTTTTTGTTTAGTGATAGTTAGCAAATTAGCAACAACAACACACTAAACGAACATGAACATGGAAAATATTATACCTTCTAAACATCAACATGTCAGTATTGTCATTATAAGCATGTTAGCATGCTTATGTGAGCATTTACGTAGTAAAAAAAGTACAGCCTCACAGAGCCACTAGCATGTTTGTAGACTCTAGTCTTGTTCCCTACCATTGGCTGAACCCTTGTCCCAGGTTTGTTTGCTTTTCTCACTTATTTTACTACCGTCACATCCTCGCCACAATTGAGCAACATAGCTAGATAGCATAGCTAGATACAGCTAATCCATGCTAAATAAATGTTAAAGCTCTATGACATTTTATTTTTTATGTTGACCATGAAATCAATGACTATAGTGCCAAAAAGGATTTTCCACTCCCATTCCTTTAATCACCACACAGAGTGCTGAACCCACAAGAGTCAGCACCTAACTCTGTGCCACTTTAGGCTATTTGTTTTTGTTATCATATATTATATTTAGACTATACGGCTACCTTCAAATTGCTCTCACCAATCCCCTGTAAATAAAGGTTGGAAGGCATTTTCGGCAAACAAGCTACAATTTAAGAAACTGTTTTTATATAAAAACAACTTGTTGTGACCGTTTCCAGATCATTTTAGTGAAGACTTCTGTCCACAGTGAGTCATCTGTAAATGGCAAAATCTCTTCTTCTTCACCTTCTTTTCATTTGGCAAACCATTTTTGGCAAACAAATAAGGCTGTTGTAGTCTGGATGGAGGGCTGAAATGGAGAGAAAAAGATGCATTTCAACCAGCTTATAGTGTAGACGTACACTCAGTCAGCCTGTCAAACAGAAGACAACAGAGTAGCAAAGTGATACCCTAAAACCTAGGATTTTAGCTAAAAGTCT